TACAATATGTTGTTAATAATAGTGATGGGATATAAAACGGCCTATATAGGTGATTGTTCCTGTAAAAAAAATCCTGTAACTATTCCCGGGTTAAGTAAAGTTCCCGAGGATTTTAAATTCTAATGAGTTAACGCAGATTTCGTTCAAGATACAAAGCGTCGTTAAGAGTATCAAGATTTATAAAATTCTAAAAGATGTTTTACAGAGTCTTCGTATCAATGAGGCATAAACGAAGAAGCGGAATCGACTATCGAGGTGTCGTTTAAAGTTTTTACGTCACCTGGGGAATGATGCACTTTAACCTATATTATCGTGGATAAGATGAGGCAATTTTTAGAAGGGAAAATCATTTCTCCTTGGAGCGTCGTTACGTTAGTGCAACCGCACGTCCTGTCTGAAGGTTAATCTTGGCGATAAACATAAACGCCACGACTGAAATGTTGGGAAGGAAGTCTTCGGTGACGCTCGGGGCACATGCTTTTCGTTCGGTGTGAAATCACATCATGAAAACGGATAAGCTACAACCTGATAAAAGCGATGACAGGAGAAACGAAATTACTCCTATAAGTTTCATTAAAATTAATATCCTCGCGCTAATTAAGGACGAGGTAGATAAATTTAAAGTGAGCTAACTAATTATAAAACTCTGAAGAAAATAAAAAATTGATAAAGTTATTCAGTCTAGTCTTTATTATTGACTTTCGTTGCTCTCTAAATCGTTAATATCGCTACATTGTCCTCGGAGCGTCGAAGATTCATCAGATATGTTTCCGTTTCTTTATTTCTTAGGAAACTTCTTGATTTTTTCATCTTCTGGTGTTATGGGAGCACGTTCGCTGAGGTGCAAGTTAAATGTTATAGGTCACCCCGTGAGAAGAGAACATTCTTTCTCTGACTGTTTCGGAGCTAAGAGCACCCTCTTCTCTCCGTCGCGTCACTATTAATCTTGCCCCGAGTACCAGACAAATCGACTACTCCGACCCAGTTTTGTCTTCCAAAGGAGCGTATTATGGAAGGATCCTATAGGATTCCACGATATTAAACGCGCTTCACGTGCATCATAAATTTGCACTCTCAATTTAGCCGCGCGACAAGATACGCAAAATACCGTCCGTCGACACCGAGTTAATATTATCGTACTGAGGGAGTCAATAAAAACGTATTGCATGTGCAAACACTGCGTATCTCTCGTATTTTTAAAGAACCAGCATTCACCAGAGTCAATCTGTCCGTATTGTTTCCGCGCTCTTTGCGCTCGTCCATAAATTGTGCCGGTAGTATCTATACGATAAAATTGGATCAAAATTTCCAGACGTGTTATCAATACATATACAACGCATTGTGTATTATGCGCGAAGCAATACTTACTTCCGTTTCAATAAAGAATTGAATAGAATTTTTGACAATAATAATAGTAGCGTTCTATGAACATTATTGACAGAGATTGAGATATTATGATCTCTGAATGCGAAATATTTATATTGTCGTTATTGTAAAATTTCGTCAAACTGCATAATAGATTTTGTCCGATCAATTTATTTAAAAAATACGCAAATCTACGTATTTAAATATATATATATATATATATATAT